ACAATGCATTTGTAAAAAGATGTCAAAATAAACAGGACCTATTCTTATTTACAACTGTAGGACAATCCTGGTCATATTATACATATCTGCTCTGGTCTCCATTACAAAACAAGTTAGCTCCCATTAGAATTATAAACCATTACAGTAATAGGACACAGTGCGCAGCAGGCATTGCTGGCATGGAAATAGATACAATTATTACACTTTTGAAAGCACTACAGTTGGGTTTGTTTGTTTTCTGGTGACTGCCTACAGTAAGCTTCTTGCCCAGTGTTTCTATAAATAATTTGTGAAGGTAATTATGTTCTCAGATTTATATATGGCCTGCTAAGAGTGGAAGCAAATCTTTTCTTCACAGTAACACAACTGCAGCATTTTAAGCAACACTGTCTGGTCCCTTTCTTCTTGGAAGATCAACAGTTCAACTCCCTTCATTTCATAGGTTACCAATATAATCAAGTCCAGTGCCTCAATGACCTCATAGATGAAAAATTGATGTAAGAGTCAGGGGCTGTGGAACAGACTAAAGTATTTGAACATCATACTTTAGTTTGCAAGAGGGGATCGGAATGGAGTAAACATTAATTTCCTAAGACATAGTAGTATATATAACCAAACACATAAGTGAGGCCCCCAAAATATTTTTTAAAAGGTTAAATTGCAAACAAAGAATTATCTTCTATTTCTCATGAAATCTCTAATGATTATGCAGTCATCCAAGAAAAACACCATTTGGATATTATGCCCAATATTAACACAAGTTGGCTCATGTTTATGTAGCATCTAAATACATGCATGATACAGAAAAAAATTACAGTTGATGGGGTTTGTGCAAATCTAGAAATAAGGATGTTGGATGACCATCACACACAAGCTCTGAGTTTAAAAGAAGTGTTGCTTCAACCTAGTAAGTTTTTTACAGGATTGAAATCAAAGATGGCTCAGAGTATAAGGCAATAGTGAGAAACATCAGATGTACTTGTCTTCCTTACGCTGGACTAGTTGATTTATACCATCCTGGCTGGTCCTTTGTTTTAACAGAGGAGTGGGTGAATAACATGTTCCAATGGCTGGTCTTGGGACCAGAGGCACAGTTTCGGGTAAAGTGCAGTACCAGGGAAGAGGCATGTGAGCAGAACTAGAAATTGTGTCCAAAAAGGTCCTCAACACTTCTTACCAGCAAATCTGCACTGCCTCACTCCTCATTTGATGTCCCCCTCAGACTCTGGTAGAAACACCCTTGGGCTCACACAGGAAGTGTAGAACGCAGGACAAAACATGGTTCATTAAATAAGGAACAGAGCTAAGCTATATGGCACATTCAAAATTTTAAATCAATTTTTATTTACTTTTGTTTCAAAAATTCTTATTGTCACTTAGTACAGTGGGAGACATAGTGGTTCCCCAAACCAGGAACTGGGAATCACTAATTTGGGAGAATGACTTCCTGTCACACACTGACCCAATAGATGGTGTGCTCAATAAATGTTTCAAGGCAAAGGAGTAATCATCATGCTAAGGAAATAACATTAGACTTGGAGCAGATGGAAGAAATGAAGAGCCTAGGTACCTATGTACCAAAGGAAGGGTACAGCTAAGAAGATCTATATCTGTAAGTCTTGATCCTTTCTCAAATTTTTAGGGCTTTACTCCCATTAAAATGTCTTCCCATTTTTTTTTTTTTTTTTTGGAGTATAACTTTCAGCCTCTCCAGGAAATGGCTGGTGTTAGAAGGCAAGAACAAGGCAAATGAATTATCTTTAAAATAATTTTAAATAATTTTGTATTTTAAAAGACTGATTTTAAAAGATGACCTTTATTGAAGTTTACCCTGACATGTGACTGAAATTGCTGCAAAAAAACATCCCCTCCTCATTTTTTTCTCTCCACAATTCTAATATATAAATTTTATAAAGCATGTCATTCTGGAATTCTCAGTCCTTACTTAGATAAGAGGTGCCATCTCTGATTTCCCAAAGGATCTTAGAATAAAAACAAAAATAAATTCCCTAAAGAAGTATAAAACATCCCAAAACAACCTGTTTGTACCAAAAAAGAAAAAAAATACATCAAATTTAATTTATCCATGATTGACATATTAAAAATTACATGATAAAAAATCTGAAATTTTTCACCTCATTAGAAGTTACTGTGTGAAATGTTTAGAGGAATCAACCACTTTCTGGAACTGATTCCATCTGATGTGCAACACTAAAAGAGAAACTAATTTAATCAATGATTCTCAATTACATCTCATACATAAGTTTGTGTACTTCCAGAAATTAAAAAAATTACTTGTGGAAATGGTTTTACATTCTATAGCCTAGTTTTACATTCTCTATACTAGAAACCAAGAATAACATTAAATTTACTATAACCAAAATTGGCTACGGTTCTCTGCAAATTCTTTGTCAAATATTACACCTAGAGATGGATAGATATTAAAATAAATTCTACCCCAAAATCATGTAGCTCTAATGATCAAATACTTAATACTGCTGATAAATCTCATACACTTGTGCTTTCAAATCAAGTAAGATTACTATGCTCTGAACACTTTCAGAATTGAGTTCATATGAAAAATGGCCTCTTAGGAATATATGCACATTTCTGTAAGATAATTAGAGCTACATATAAGCAGGAGCCAAATTACTTGCAGATGGTCACATCCTTTCTCCGGTGGTCAAATAAGCCTTACTTAGGAATAAAGACTCATTCGGGATCAAGGTGTTACATGCCTGGAATAAAAGCTCTGAGAAATGTAAATGCTACCTCTGAACTGAGCTGAGCAAAAAATATAATCAATGCCAACAGAGAAGTATTTAAAAGTTCTGAGTTTTGAGGCCATTCCATCGCAGAGTTCAAACTGAGTTTCTCCTTAGCTTATTACCTTAGTTCCAATTATACCTAAGAGTCCCCAGTTCTTCAGAATTCGCTAGCCGCTGTGTTCGCGTGCGTGCGTGTGTGTTTGTGCGTGTTTGTGCGTGTGCGTGTGCGTGAGCGTGTGTGTGTGTGTGTGTGTAAGAGGGGGGGGGGAGAGGAGAATAATAAATAATCAAACACACTGAAAACTGTCTTTGTAACTGGCAGCCTGGACCTTTCAAGTACAAAGAAAAACTTGAATGCTAAAGCTTAAAACTCAGTTAAGATTTAAAAAAAAAAAAGTCATAAATCTCACATTTTTGTCTCAATTAACAGTTTTAATTGATGAGTTTATTTGTGGCTTTGCTGAATAACTTATTCATGAAGCTCTCCTGTTCTTCCCATGACCATTTTGAAGGGAGAAAATACAAAAGCTTTTCTCATTTACAGTATTTTTGCCCCCAGGAGGCTGCTTCAGTTAGCAGCAGGAGCGGATGGGAAAGTTTGGTGAGAACAGTTGAAGAGGCACAGATGACCCTTTTGCTGAGTCTTTACAAGAGGTATTCACTGGAGTCACTGCTCTAACCAAGCCCTAGGAGGCTTTTTTGAGGAGGAAAAAAAAAATGCTGGTTCTTGGATTCACTTTGTTAACAGAGAAGACAGAACAATTTATATGCATCTCTCCCACTCCATCCAGTTTTGGCAGAATATAACAACAAAAAGTAGTGGGTTTGAGAATATGAGCATATATCATTGTTGATTTAGTTTAAGTTTTCAAATTCAATATGTGAGTATATACATATATATATTTAGATTATTAACTTCAGTGGGGCTTCTTAAGCCCTCTACATAAAGTTTTTGTATACTTCAGTAGGTCTTGGGTCTCAATTTCCCAATTTCAGATGGCAGGCCTATTTTTAAACAACAAGTTTATACTTTAAAATCTGGGCGTACACACACACACACTCAACATACAGAGATATATAAAGATAGTTTCTGAAGCACCATTTCACATCTGCCATCAGGAAAAATAATGAACAAATTCATCTTCTTATAATTCTACTATGAAGGATAATAATGCAATATACAATGCCATATTTTAAATAAAAATATCAGTAAATGAATATAAGGACAGACTTAAGACTTTGCAAAGAAATATCTAAAAAGTAGGGTTCAGATAACTCTAGATTCCAAAGACACTATTTACTGATCAGTCCATACCAATTAAACAAATGTAAAAGAATTTACTTTAAAATCAATAAATAGAATGAAGAGAGAATATGAAAACAAAATTCAACTTATGAAACAATTTTTAACTGAACACATGCAAAACTCCACAACTGCTCTTATCCTTAAGGACTAATGTAAAATGCAAGCACAACATGGAAAATATCTATGCACTTTTCTTTTTAACTTTCTATCTTTAAGGATCTTGGCACATTAAAGGATAGCATGGCTTCCTAATATGAAGAACAGGATATGAAATTCAGAAACTAAGTAATTGTTATACTACTAATTAAGAAAGAAGCCTCTACCTAAATCAAATCTTGGGAATAAAGGCTGATTAAACAACTCAATTATTTGCTTGACTTTAACCATGGATATACATTCTGTATTAATTCAATACATGCCATGGGTAAGAAATTGTTCTAGATCCTGACATCAACCAGCATTTGGTTATGAGTCATTGTGTTTTCTGGGACTATCTGCATTTTTTTTTTTTTTTTTTTTTAAGAACAACTCAACTATTTCAACTAGTTTACAAATTTTCAACAATAAAGTTCAAAATTGAGGTCATTCCTCCTACTCAACACACCCCAAAATGATCTCCCTCAACTTCCAGCTGATTAATATTTAGGGAATATAACATTACAAATCAAACTTGAAAATGTAAATCTGCTTGGAAAATTTAAAAATCACATCGTGCAATTAAAAATGAAAGGTAATTTGTTTTTGACAACCCAAGTATTCGCATCATCTAACACAGCTTCCCTACATTCAGAAGAAAACTGCAAAGTGATTATACAAACACAAACACATACATACGCAATTCTCTCTCCATGTGCATGTATGTGTGCATGCACATACAAATACATTTGTAATCTCACCTGTGACATTTACACTTAGTCTATCAGAATTTAAACAGCTGAACTACAGTCATGACCTAAAATATGGCTTATGTTGTGGGCAGGTCGGTTTGAGGACTGCTTGGAAGTGTCAGAGGCAGAGGAGTTTGCGATTGTAAGCAAAGGTGACATTGCTGAGCCATCAGGAAGAGCTGTAGCTATTTCTGGAAACAAAGATGTCATATTAAAATTGGATAAGTGAGAGTTGGGCATGTGCATCGGTGGCATATCAGGGAGAAGAGGAAAACTTGGTTGAGCAAAACCAACAGGTCTTGGAGGAGATAAAATTGATCCAAATCGGTTATTTAAACTCCCACTGTTTACCTTCTCTGTGCTGGGATTTGAGAACATCTGATTCGAAAAATAAGAGAGTGGAATATCACTGGACAGTGTAGGGTGAGCAGGAGAGTACGAGGGATAGAAGGAAGGTAGAGTATTTTGGGGATCTACAGGGATGAGTGCTGGAGTTCTAGTGGCACTAGGCTGAGTAACCTGTGGAATGAAAGAAGTATTAGCATTTATTGGTGGATTCATGCCACCCTCGGGAATAAAAGGAAAACCAAAATTTTGTGATAGCGTATGCTGGTCAGGTGCTGAATTATCATTAGGTACTTGAGGGCTATCAGGCATGAAACGAACAATACTTCCTCTCTTCTCTGTAGTGGGTTGCTGGCGTCCAAGAATCATACTGCCACTAGCAGAGAGAGGAAGATGGGGAAGATTCGGATCAAAGACATTACTATGCCTTTGATTTCCAGAACGATTCCTTTCAGGTTGACGAATTTTGGAACCACTGCTGTCTTGCAAGGGATGCCTTGATCGCTGGGGAACTGAAGAATTAGTTTGACGTACAGGAGGCCCTTGATCAGAATTTCCATGAGACACAGATGGATGTGGCAAAGCTGGCCTTGCAACCCCATGCATGTTGGTTGTGACTGGAGGATTCATGTGGCCCTTGGTCCCATGACTGTCAGTGATCCTCATGGGATTGGACTTCTGCACAGAAACATTGGGACTTGTGTTTCGACCTTGAATATCTCCTGAGGAAGAAGAACTTGAAAAAGGAATATTCAAGGTGCTGTTCCTTGTGTTAATCGCACCTAGGGGCATATCACAACTTTCCCTATTCTGATTCTCACTCTCTCTTCTAATATGGACACTTTCATGAGTTGGGGGACAATTATATTCAACTGCAGGGGATGGCCCACACTGTGCATTCCTCTGATGTTCCGAGAGTGATCTCTGGCTCCCAATGACCTGATCACCAAGGTGAGGGGCAAGCAAGCTCTGCATAAAACTTTGATGACATGTGTTTTCACTGTCCCTTGGTGGGATAGCATTTCCTGCTGGGATGCTATGAACTGGTGGATAAGGTAATCTCTTCTGGCGGTCAATTGGTGGTGGACCAGGGTTTTGACTAATTCGAAAAGCCTGAGGCTGCATACTCCTCAATGACGGTACAGAGTTACCTATTTCATTATTTCTTGAAGACTGTACTTCAAAATTACTCTGGGGCTGTTGAATGGCTCCAGTTGGTTTAAATGTCTGACAGTCAGACAGCCGGATATCTGGGGCAACAGTATGGTCCACACGACCCTGCATATTATGAAGGCCCAAACTCTTATTTCTGGGTACATCAAGATAACTTCTCATTTCAAGCTGATCTGAAACTCTAGAACCCTGAATCGATATACCCATTCTCTGCTCTGAATTAGAAGATGTCTTTCCAATGAGTGCCTCGGCAGAATAACTTGAAACTCTATTTCTCTCTGGTCTGTGTGGGGTACAGGTCATGTCTGAAGTTCTAGTCACAATACTTGGTTGGGACACCATCTGCTGCTCTATGCCTCTTGATGTCAAGAGCCTCTGCATTGGATTATGCCCAGTTACATGATCAGAAGAAACCCCTGAGCCTTGCTGTCTGCCTCCAACCTCCTGTTGCTGGTGCATAATATCTTGATTGAGATGGTTTTGGGGATGGTTAGGGTGGTTCCGGCTAGTTGAAGGGTTTTCACAACTCTTTTCCGACTGGGAGCTTCCGAAGTGTTGCTGCATTTGTTGCTGTATTTGCTGATGGTGGGGATGTGGCTGACCACTCTTGGATCGGGATTGGTCAGTCCCATGGTGCTTAGGTTGTAAGGAAAGCTGGGAGGCCTGAGTGCCCTGAACAAGATTCCTCTTTTTGTGCATATGAACTTCCTGTTGCAGAGTTCTCTGTTGGTGGACAGTATGGGGCTGAGAGTGGAGAGAGCTCTCTGCATGAGGTACGTGATGCTGCAGTTGATATAAGTGATGCCTTTCCCTTAACTGCCCTGCTTGCTGCTGCTGCTGCTGCTGCTGCTGCTGCTGCTTTAAGTAGAGATGGTTACTATGCAGGTGAGATACCCCTTGAGCTGGAATATGCTGTTGCAGGACCTGCAGATGTTGACTGGCCTGGGTTTGCTGCTGCTCAGCAACTGAAGGCTGAGAACTGCACTGAACTTCAGTTTGCCTCAATGCAGGAGCCACAAAGTTGTTACTAGGTGGAAATAATCGCGTAAGGCCATCTCCATGTGCTGGGTTGCTAATAGGCACAACCGAGTTTGAAGAGTTGGGAGGGATCTGACTAACCATCATTTGAGTATGATCAGAAATGCTATCTGGAGTTCGGCTAACCAGGGACATACCTTCAAGCCTGAGGGGAGCTGGCTGACAATGCTTTTGACGTTTCGCTGAGGACAGTAGAAGGTCATCTTGGACAGCACGTTTAGCGGAGTCTTTACGGCTTTCATGACTTGGCTTTAAGAGTGGCTCTTGAATCTGTGAAGTTGGTACAGTACCAGTCATAGTGCTTAGTTGTTCTTGAGAATATTCAGTCATCAGAGATGGTCCAGGAGGCTGACTGCCATAGGAACTAGATGAAACAGTCAGATTAACTGTAGCAGAAACAGTTGTTGACTCTGAAGTCTGAGACAATCCAGCACAGCTGACGAGAGAGTGGCTGATGCTGCTCTGATGGACAAGATTATTCACACTTAAACTGGTTATACTTGGTGGCTGAGAATTCGAAACCTGCAAAGAAGCATTTGATGTTTTAATCCCTACCGAACAACTTGGTTTTTCAAGGGGCCTATCCACAGTTGCTTCAATTGAATCCTGAGAATTAAATTCATTTGGTGTTGCTTCTGCCTGACCTGGGCTATTCTCTTTAGAGGCCTGTGTTTTGAAAGGCTGGTCTCCCTCTAAAGATGATGCTTCAGAAGGCTTTGAAGTAACTTCCCTTGTATCAGCCTGGGTACCAGCTTTTCCTTTCTCAAGGTTCTCCTGGTCAAAAATAGCTCTTGCTGCAAGAGCGACTATATCAGTTTGCTCTACAAAGGTACAGCTGTCACACGTATTAGTTGTTACATTGCTGGTGACATCTTCTCTAGTTGTTTCAGGAAGCATGGATGCAACTGAGAAACTACGACTACTACCCGAGCTGGTTGACATGGGAGAGTCAGCCTGCCGACTGGTAAGCAAAGAGCCATGAATAATCTCCTGATCAGGGATACAGGAATGATGCTGTCCTGGGTCTCTATCATCACTGTTCATCAGCAACAGCTCCTGTTTGGGATGCAAATCAATATTTGAACCAATTATTTTAGAACTTTCTGAAGAAAAGTCAGGATGGTCCACCTGGACTGAAAGAGATGACTTCTGAGGGTCTTTTTCTTTAGCAAGACCAGACAGCAATGCAGTTAAACCTTGCTCCTTTAAGAGACCTGTAGTTTGCATTCTATCTGATGAATCTTGCTCAACTCCGCAAGGCTCAGCAATGATTTCTACCTCAGAAATGCAATCAGTACTTGTAATGCTTGTGGTAGATGATGAAACAGAAACCTGAGAAACCAAAACAGGGGGATCATTTGGAGATGGAATCAACACATTGGCTGAAGTACCAAATTTGGGAGCATCTGACAATGCCAAACTAATTGGTGGCTTATCCTGAGATGTCTCTTGCACTACGGGGACAGAATCTTTGGATTTTGCTGGGGCCACTGCAAAATGCTCACTTGTTACAGATTCTTGGCAGGGTGAGTTAGACCCTTCTGCTGACTTAGATTTGGGTACAGACTCAGGTATCACTGATTCTGAATTCGGAACATCCAAAGAATGTGAACCAGAAACACTCACAGTACTTTTTGTCTGGGACACAGCGACAGATGGCACCACAAGAGGGGGACTTTCCAGCAGTCCATCATTACATGGTAGCTCTGCTAAGCCTTCAGTGCTGGGACAGTCCACCTGGCCCACATCGCTGACTGGATTCAGGGGGCATGCTGACTTGTTAGCTGCTAACTGTTTTTTGACACCTGGCTTCTTATTCAACCTTTTTGACTTCACGTTAGGCAAACAAGCTACAGTGTTCACTGAGGGAGTAGTCACAAGACTATACGTGCTGGGTAGTGTGGCTGAAGTATCTGTTGTTGTGGGCGATACTACTGTTGCTGTTAATGAAGCACTGTTAGCTGGGGTGGTCTGATTATTTGCAATAGTTTGAGGATTGGCAGGCTGGCTAATAGACAATTGTACACAGCTTTGCCCAGCCATCTGTGATATGCTTTGATTGAGGCTGGCCAAAGCACCGAATGTATTCAGGGCAACGTTGGTATTTGGATCTTCGCTGGTGGTGGGTTGAATAATTTGCATAGGGTTTTGGTTTGTAGTTCCTGATGAAGACATCACAGGCTGCAAAGCAAAGAGCTGTCCATTTAAAGAAATGGTTTGAGGCTGTTGTTGGTTCGACATAGTAACAGAAAAAGTTTGTGTTGAATTAGATGTTGATAAAGATGAAGGTCTTGGTAATATGTGGACAAGATGCTTTCCACCAAAAGTTTGTGGGGTCGACACATTTTGCACTGAATTAGATCCTATTATAGCACTGGCTCCATTGACAGGGAGTCGAACAGAACTAGGAGGTTGAGCTGAGAGGAGTGGCAAAGGATTCTGATTAGCTGCCTGTATGATTACTATCTGTTGACCTACAGTTGGGTTGGGAACCTCTGCCCTCATCACTGTTGGGCATGGAGTGGTGCTGGGTGGCTGAAGAATGATAACATTTTGATTAGCTGGAGCTGCTTTAACAGCTGTCCCCACTGGCTGAGCCATCTGAATCACTTGCATTGCTGAATTCAATGGGAGGATACTTGGGGGGGTCTGAGATTTAACTTGCGGCTGGGCAATAACTGGCTGCATAGGTAATGGTGGACAAGAAGGCAAGGTTACAACTACTTGCTCAACTGGCTGCCCATCTGCTGGTAAGGAATTATTCAAGTTAATGCCTGTAGCCATATGTCTACTGTGCTTGATTGTGGTGGGACTAGTACCAGACTCATTTAATACTGGAGTCACAGCAGAAGAAGGTGTCTGGCTTAAGGGCTGAATAGTGTTTCCTGCCAGTTGCAAAGTAGTCCACGTTGTCTGCGTGTTTCCAGATGAGGAAATTCGAGTAAGGCTATTAATGTTTTTCAAATCTGAAGCACTAACAGCTGAAGAAGGCAAAGAACAAGAAAGAGTCCAACCATTATCCAAAGGATTTGCAGAAGGACTGCTCACAGGAGCGGTGGTCTTCCCTCCTTCAGGGACAGATGGGGCCACCACTGCGGTAACGCCTGTGGAGTCTGCACCCTTGCTAATGCTCACTGGATCAGAATCACCTGCAGATCTGGGAGGCTGGGAGCAGACTGTGGTGGTAACTGAAACAACAAAGGTGGTTTGAAAATCACTTCTCAAATCCTGTGTGCTCGGGCAGGACTTGCCTCCAGGGTTCACTTTAGTGGTAGTTGCTGAGGAGCTGGAGGGGACGCTTGTGGCACAAGGGACTATTTTCTTCAATAATTTCGGATTCTCTTTCCCGTTCTTATTTTCAGAAGAATTTTGATCATTTAGACTTGGGTGCAAGGACCGATGTTGGCAAGGTTCAGGTCCTACAGGAACAGCAACCAGTGAGCCCCTGGTGGCACCAAGCACATGTGAATCGCTTTTGGAGGTGGCAAGCTTGAGAATATTTTGAGCAGGAATGGTAGCCGGAAGACAAAGAGGAACAGGCTGGTTGGCAGCCAATGCAGAAACTGTGGTCTGATGCCATGGCTTGTTTTCAGAAGGGTAAACTCCAGAAATAGACACAGGAGTCACAAGATTGCAAGTCCTCTGCACTGGCACCACATTGGCGGTTTGCTTTTGTAAATTATGGCCAACATTAAAGGTTATCCCCTGAACAGCTGCTCCCTGGTTGTTGCCACCAGGCTGACTCCCATTGGAATAAACAATAATATTTTTCTGAATCTGGTCACTGGGAATAACAACAGAGACCTTTGAGTTTTTAAGATTTCCTTTCCAGTGGATTGTGGGATCATCATATAAGCATATGTCATTTGCTTTCAGTAATTCAATATATCGGCCATTTTCTTTTTGAATTTCTTCCAATTGTTTACGTAGCTTTTTAATTTCTTCAGCTACAATATTAAAAATATAAATAAAACAATTACCTATAAACATCAATATTTACAATAACTTAAGAAAGAACTGTGTACTAAAACTAGGGAAATTTAATTCTAGCATTCTAAAAACCTCAACTGAGAATCTTCAGCTATTTCCTAATACAAGTTCTTTCTTCTTTTTAGAATGGTATCTCAAACTTCTATTCCATCTTTTAAAAGTATATATCTTTAAAGGTAAACAACTCAAAGGTAAAAAAAAAATTACTCAAAAGCCTGGCTGGTGTTGCTCAGTGGTTGAGTGTCAACCTATGAACCAGACGGTCTTAGCACTATTCTAAGTCAGGGCACAGGCCTGGGTTGCAGGCTTGATACCCAGTAAGGAGTATGCAAGAGGCAGCTGATCAATGATTCTCACTCATGATGTTTCTCATTCTCCCTCTCCCTTCCTCTCTGAAATAAAAGCAATAATAATTTTTTAAAAAATTACTCATAGCCTAGACTGGTTAGGCTCAATGGACAGAACATCGGCTTGGGGACTGAAGGGTCCCGGGTTCGATTCCGGTCATGGGCATGTACCTTGGTTGCGAGCATATCCCCAGTAGGGGGTGTGCAAGAGGCAGCTGATCAATGACTCTCATCGATGTTTCTAACTCTCTATCTCTCTCCCTTCCTCTCTGTATAAAAATCAATAAAATATATATTTAAAAAAAATTACTCATAATGTAGAAATCTTAAAACCTTCAATTCAAAAATTCCCAATAGGGCAACTACAAAGGTAAAACAAGGAAGACATACTGATATCATAGTAACATGCTAGGAAAATAACAGTAAATATCAATATCACAGCCTACAACAGCTAAATTACTTATGGTGGTAATCGTCTCTTTTTTAAATGGCATAAAACTCATTTCTAATCTACCCTTTGAAACAACAGAGCACAAGTAGAACATGTAAGAAATAAAGTGGTAAAACATGGAGGAAAGCGTCAACAATGGAACTTGCACTTTCCTTAGCAGGGACAACGTATGTTACCCTACTGAGTAATGGAGATGTCTACCCTCCTGTTCCTTTCTAAGGAAAACAACCTAACCCTTGGGTCCTACTAACGGGGCAATGTAGGCTGCTGTTATTTATGCTCTGTGATCCCGTACATCCCCACTTGTTTTGCTATAGGGGTAGATACTCTCCCCATTCCCTCTCAAAGGCAGCCCATCCTTAAGGCCAATGCCCTAGGAGGTAACCTGAAATGAACAGTTCTGTCCTGACAAGGATGAGCTGAGACTAGAAAATTATTTCCTTAGATTTTTAAATTAAAAGACACAGGAAAAAGCTGTCAATGTGCCATGTACATTAGAATTTTTAAAATTATTATTATAGACCAAATAATAATGGTTGTTCTTCTTATTGCACACTTACTATATGCCTGGGACTTTTCATTCACTGTTTCATTTAATAACAATAACAACAATCATAACAGATAACTTTTATCAAGCATTTTCTTGAAGTCCCAAACTTCAAGTGCTTTATCAGAATTAACTCTTTTCCTCTTCGTAACAACCATGAGATGGGAACTACCTATTGTCTTCATCATTCCAGATATGAGAAACAGACTCAGAGTAGTTATATAATTTACCTAAAGTTAACCAGATAGATGCTATAATTATCCTCATTTTAAGATAAGGAAACTAAGACTTCCTGGAGAGATTAAGTAACTGACCATAGGTACTGAGTGATAAATGAAATGAGGACACAAATCCTGACTCCCAAGACCATTGTTCTAGATTGTCATGTGGACCATGAGTATGTGGAGAAAACTATTGGGAGGTGAAGAGTAAGCAGATGCACAAAAAAAGCACCAAAGAAAGGATGAGAACGGAGATGACAAGCAATCACACTGAAGCTGCCTCCTTTGCTGCTATGACCCCTGGCCTGTTCAGCTTTTCCGGGGCAACTTATATTTTTTTCAATAGTTTCCCTTTTTCTTAAGCTAACTTGACTGCCTCAGCCCCTGGGCTGTGAAATCAAAGAAGCTCTCACTAGAAAAGTCTACAAATCATTTTATAGGGTGCCTCAAAATGGATACCAAACATATATATCTAGCTACCTGACAGCATCATTACCAGGGCCTGGGCCATAAAAGACAACTGAGCTACTTGAGGGGATAAGTTGCTATCTAACTGAAATTCTGAAGGCTAACCTTCCCGTTTCTTATAAACAGCCCAGCATTGCTCCACCTCCACAAATTCTGCCTGTTTCTCTCCTTTTAATGTGACCTTCTGAGGTGTCACAGGAAATTCTCTCTCTGCTCTTGTCAGTGGCTTACCACTCGGACCTTTATACTTGCCTGAGACATTATTCTTTTCAGCTGTTATAAGGAAACCCATTCTCCAGTTCAAATGGAAAAAGATTCACTTGTTAACATGACTCATTTCTATCTAGATATCAAATATTATTAAATGATTAGGCAGTCTCATGCGCACAATACATGTAATAAAAACAATCATGAACTAAGGTTTGGCCTTTGAGAAAATTCACAGTTAAGTCTTAGCACAGACATTATCTTTATCTTGTTTTTAAGTTATACTGAGCAGGATCCCTCTACATCCTCCGATAAGTTCCTCCTCACTGAAAGATTCAACTAGAATAAAAAAGATTCAGCATTACTTATATCATGAGTTAAGCAAACATGAAAAATAGACACAAGTCCAAAATCAAAGTTATGTATACCTGCAAGACTTAGAATTGCTCACTAAGATGAGTTTATCTGCAACACTATTCTCCCAGATCCACTTAACACATGGTCTTAATAATGTCTGTGGGTAAAAAGCCTTCTGTATCCTAATATAAGTTGCACTGGATGCAAAGGTCTAAATATTGGAGGAAAAAACAAAAAGAAAAAATATTTACCTTGTTCATTATTTCCTCCATTTAGCAGGAATTCATCATTTTGCCTTTTCAATTCTGTTATATATTTAAAAGCTTGGTCCAGGATCATATTCTTGCTCTGCCAAAGAAAATTAACGATTTAAAAGGTTTTCATTTTAAGACCTTGCCAAAGAAACTTAAAGTGTTGGTTTTATTACATACTAGAGGCCCAGTGCATGGATTCATGCACTGGTGTAGTCCCTCAGCCTGGCCTGTGGGTATTGGGCTAAAACCAGCTCTCCGACATTGCCTGAGGGATTCCAGATTGCGAGAGGGCACAGGCCTGGCCGAGGAACCCCACTGGTGCGCATCAGGGCTGGGAGGGACTGCAAGAGGTTGGCAGATTGAGGGAAGGATCTAGGGAGGGCTTCAGGGCATGTCCGGCCCATCTCACCCAGTCCCAATCGGCCAGACCCCAGCAGCAAACTAATCTACTTGTCAGAGTGTTTACCCCCTGCTGGTCAATGTGCACGATAGCAACTGGTCAAATGGTCAGACACTTAGGATATTAGGATTTTATTATATAGGATATGTGATATGGATCTTTAAATTTTTTTTAAAATGCACCAATCTTCAAAAGCTTCTACTGCTTATCTTTCATTTGCTAAGTATTGGCTGGTCCGAGTGCAGTGGTGTCTTACAACTAACTGATCACAGCCAGTTACAAATTTCATTTGCTAAGTATTTACTGAGCATCAACTATGTGTCAAGCTCTGTCCCAGGCACTAGGGATAAAATAAACAAAATAGAAAAAGTTCCTGACTTTGAAAAATTTTATACATATACTAGAGGCCCGGTGCATGAATTCTTGCACTAGTGGGTCCCTCAACCTGGCCTGTGGGATCGGACCAAAACCAGTTCTCCGACATGCCAATGGGTCCCAAATTGACAGAAGGCACAACCAGGCCAAGGGACCCCACCGGTGCACGATCTGACCGGGGAGGGAGGTGGGAGGTTTGCCAGCCAGGGAGGGACCATTGGTGGGCTCCAGGGCATGTCCAACCTATCTTCCTCAGTCCCAATCAGCCAGACTCCAGCAGCGAGCTAACCTATCAGTCCATGTGCACATTATTAAATAACTCCAGTACTTTATCAGACAACTGTTTTTATGCAGGAATCAGTGATTTAGTGCTTTGGTTCATTCAGCAAGTTACAATTCTGAGTAACTTAGACTTAGTCCCCTCATAAAAAACAAAGTAACCCAGGAAACACTTTAGAGAGAGAAAACTAATACTGTCCTTTCTTAACTCAAAAGTTGAGACAGCCCTAGCCAGTTTTGTTCAGTGGTAACAGCATCAGCCCTCAGACTAAAGGGTCGCAGGTTCGATTCCAGTTAAGGGCACATATCTTGGTTTCAGGCTCATCCCCAGTATGCACTGCAACATGTTTTAACTGTTACAGTGCAAGGGCAAAAGACAAAGAGAGAATATTGAAAGCAGCAAGAGAAAAACAGTTACCGTGTTTCCCCGAAAATAAGACATCCTTCGAAAATAACACCTACTTATAGGTTTCCTTCTGAGTGAAATATAGGGCATCCCCTGAAAATAAGGCCCCCCAGGCTAAACATGTGAGATTTGGTACACTGATTCTGAAAGAAATGGAGTCACAAGAAATTCACCAGGAAATTCAGGAATTGGATTGTTATGATGATGTTCCAGAAGATGATGACATGATTGTCATTGAATAAATGAGTAAATTCTTGATAACTGTAGGATTCATAGTTTGTCTGGTTTGTGTTGACAACTACCGTACTACTGTACCGTATACAGGTAATAAATTTCCTTTTTCTTTTCTTTTTTTTAAATAAATTTTTATTGTTCATATTATTACAAATGTTCCTCCCCCCCCCCCCCATTGCTCTCCTCCACCAGGTTTCCCACCCCACCCTCTGCCCTTTCCCCATTCCCCATTGTCCTCATCCATAGATGCACAGTTTATCTTCAGTCTCTTCCCACATCCCCTCTCCCCTTTTCCCCGAGAATCGTCAGTTCACTTCCCTTCCATACCTCTGATTCTATTATATTCAACAGTTAATATTGTTCATCAGATTTTTTTTTTTAATTTCCTTGGTTTTTAGATTCACTTGTTGATAGTTACGTATTTGTTGTTCATAATTTTTATCTTTGTTTACTTTCTCTTCCGAAAGAACCCCCTTCAGCAATTCATATAATTCTGGTTTGGTGGTGGTGAACTCTTTTAGCTTATTTTATTAGTGAAGCTCTTTATTTGGCCTTCAATTCTGAGTGATAACTTTGCTGGGTAGATTATCTTTGGCTGTAGGTTCTTACTATTCATCACCTTGAATATTTCTTGCCATTCCCGTCTGGCCTGCATGGTTTCTGTTGAGAAGTCAGCTGACAATTGTATAGGTGCTCCTTTATAGGTAACTACCTGCTTTGCTCTTGCTGCTTTTAATATTCTCTCTTTGTCTTTTGCTCTTGGAATTTTAATTATGACTTGTCTTGGCGTGGTCCTCTTTGGATTCCTTTTGTTTGGAGTTCTGTGCGCTTCCTGGACTTGTAAGTCTAATTCTTTCACCAGGTGGGGGAAGTTTTCTGTCACTATTTCTTTCAGTATGTTTTCGATATCTTGCTCTCTCTCATCTTTTGGGACCCCCATAATTCTGAAGTTGTCCCACAGGTTTCTTACATTATCTTTAACTTTCTGGATTCTCTTGTCTTCTTGCTTCTGCAGAGGAGTGTCTTCTAGCTCTTTATGTTCCAAATCTTTGACTTGATTCTGTTTTTAGGACTCTGTATAATATTTTTTTATTTCAGACAATGTATTCTTTATTTCTTGTTGATCCCTTATCATTTCTTGTTGATTCTTTATTAATTCTAGTTGATCCCTTTTCATATCCTCATATGTCTTATCTACCTTTTCTAGGAAATTCTTGAAAAACCTTATAAGCGTAGATTTGAACTCTATATCCAGTCACTTTTTGTCCTCCATTTCTTTCGTTTGTGATCTATTGTTGTCTCGACATTTTCGCAGCTTCCCTGATGGGGCGGGGTTTCAGGGTGGAGCCTAAAGCCTTGGCTTCCGTCAGCCCCGCCCTATGCGGCTCCTGGGTCTCAGGGTCCTTCAGTACTCGCTGCAAGCGCCTCTGAGAGAAAGGTGCCCTCGATTTTCACCTGCTACTAAACAGTCTAGTCTCTCCCCCAATGAGCCCAGAACTGGGGTTCAGTTCAGTTGGAAGTGGGATTGGAGGTGGCATTCAGAGCAGTCTGGAGCTTTTGTCTCCTTCCCGCCAGGGTAATCCCATGGCATAGCCAACCGTCCCTTCTCTGCGCACAATGTGCCCGCCTCTGGGGGCTCTGCCTTTCGCGCTCCCCCGGGGTTCCGCCTCACAGCCCAGCTCCCTATGGATGAGACTGCGTCCCTGGGGTCTGGCCTAGAACTGGGGTTCAGAGCAGTTGGAACTGGGGCCCAGCACAGTCGGAGCTTTTATCTCCTTCCCGCTAGGGAACGCCAGCCAGGCACTCAGCCTCCCTCCTCTCCGGCTCCGTCCTCTCCGTGCACGCCGCGTGTCTCCGTACCTTAAGCTTTTACAGCTCCTCTGTGCTTCCTTCTGTTTTTCTCCTTGCTTCTCGTTGTAGAATTTCCAGTCAGTCGACTTTCCTGTACTTCTGGGTAATGTCCATTTTATATTTTAGTTGTATTTTATTGAAATTGTGTGCGGCTGCGGCTAGGTGTTTACCTGTGCAGCCATCTTGGATTTTCCTAATTTTCTTTATTTTCATTTAACAATAAATGTGTTCCATATTCTTCTTCATGGAAAAATAAGACATCCCCTGAAAATAAGACCTAGCACATCTTTGGGAGCAAAAATTAATATAAGACACTGTGTTATTTTCGGGGAAACAGGATAGTTACCTACAATGGAGTACCCATTCAACTGTCAGCTGATTCCTCAACAGAAACTACACAGGCCAGAAGGTAGTGGCATAAAATATTCAAAGTGATGAACAGCAAAAACTGACAACCAAGATTACTCTACCCATTTAGAATTGAAGGTCAGATAAAGCTTAACAGACAAGAAAAAGCTAAAGGAATTCATCACCACCAAACCAGGATTATATGAAATGCTGAAGGGGTATTCTTTAAGAAAAGGAAGAAGAAGAGAAAGGTAAAGATAAAAATTAGGTACAACAAAGTGACAAAAAATACATATCTATCAACAAGTTAATCTAAAATTCAAGTGAATAAAAAGTCTGATGAACAAAATAAACTGCTGAATATAATAGAATCAGGGGCATAGAAAGAGAGTAGACTGACAATTCTCACAGGGAAGGGGGTGTGAGGGATGCAGGAAGAGAATGGACAAAGATATTACACCTATGGATGAGGATAGTGGCGGAGGTAAGGGCATGAGGTGTGAGGGGGAATTGGGTGGAGAGGGCTATGGGGGGAAAGAGGAACATCTGTAATAATCTGAATAATGATTTATTTTTTAAAATAGGCTAACATAAATGATGATATCCTATTACAATGGAATCCTATATAATAAAAGGATAATATGCAAATTGACCAAAAAGCAGAATGACCAGATGCAATGACGAGCACTGACCACCAGGGGGCAGATTCTACACAGGAGCTGCCCCCTGGTGGTCAGTGTACTCCCACGGGGGAGTGCCGCTCAGCCAGAAGCCAGGGGAGTGCAACAGCGGTAGCGGGAGCTTCTCCCTGAGGCAACACTAAGGAGCAACCGGCCAAGCTTCTGGCTGAGCAGTGCTCACACAAAGAACTCCCATGGGGAGCTGGCCTAAGGGGGCAACCAGGCCAGCAGGGGAGGGCATTTGGGGGCAACCAGGCCTGTAGGGGAGGACAGTTGGGAATACCAAGGCTGCAGGGGAGGACTGTTGGGGGCGACCTGGCCAGCAGGGGAAGGCAGTTAGGGGTGACCAGCTGGCAAAGGAGGGCAATTCAGGCAATCAGGCTGGCAGGGGAGCAGTTAGGCATCGATCAGTCTGGCTGGGGAGAGGCTAGGGGTTGATCAGGCTGGCAGGCAGAAGCAGTTAGGGGCAATCAGGCAGGCAGGCAAGCAGGCGAGCGGTTGGGATCCAGCAGTCCTGGATTGTGAGAGGGATCCCAGGTTGGCGAGGGTACAGGCTGGGCTGAGGGACACCACCACCCCCTGCACAAATTTTGTGCACCAGGCCTCTAGTACTATATAACCAGTAAAATGTTACAACACATTAGGAAAGGTATGTATTACTAAGTCTACTATGTACCACTGAGTGAAAATACAAAACAGTTTTGTGAAACTATTCAGACATAGTCACAAAGCAATGTCTAAAGAGATATGTAACAAGTTTTAGCAATGATTATAACTTGAGCATAGAATGTCAATTTATTTATTTAACTTAATTTTTAAGATTTTTTTATTGTTGACAATATTCAATTTATTTTTTAATCTTTTTATGCCTTCCATGTTGTTTCCATTTTTATTGTTTTTATTTCAGTGAGCAGGCTTTATCCTCATTATCAGAAGAAACAAAAACTTAAGGAAAATTGTCAGCTTAAATAAGCCGAGATTTCAGTGGAGGTTGATATGGTGTGGAAAATAAAATAAAGAAGAGATTCTTAGAAGATTCTAGTTAAGAATTTAAGATAGTAAAGAACATGATTGGAGAAAATAAAAGAAATGCTTAGTAAATACAGTTGTATACATATACTAGTACATGTAATCATGGGACTGAATAATTCAAGATTTTAAAGATCTAGAAATTTAAAAAAAAAAAAAAAAGAAATTATATGGTTCATTCGATCATGTAAAAACTGTACTAGAAGACTGTTCGGAGTGTGGGAAGAATTAAACATAGCCATACAGAAACTTAAGAGCATGAAAAATTATGAGACAATTATTAACTCCAAAAAAAACTATTTATGACAGTGAACAAGAATAACCATTTAAACAATGGGGGATTATCTGTTCACAAGTTATGAATAAAAATGAGGAGACTTCCGAGACCGGTTTGGCTCAGTGGATAGAGCACGGCCTATGGACTCAAAGGTCCCAGGTTCAATTCCAGTCAAGGGCATGTACTTGATTGCAGACACATCCCCAATGGGGGATGTACAAGAGGCAGCTGATCAATGTTTCTAACTCTCTATCTTTCTCCCTTCCTCTCTGTAAAAAAAATCAATAAAATATATTTTAATAAATAAAAATGAGAAGACTTCTTACCTGCTTCAGTGCAGGGGAACATGGGATCAGTTCTCCTATTCTGTTAATCCCAGCATTGATTTTCTTCTTCCTATGCCTCTCCACTAGAGAGGGAGGAAAATCCTTTTATTAACATACAGAAAATTTGCTTCTAGTAAAGAAATTTTAGGCTAAGAAAATCTTATCTAATAGTATCTACTAACTATAGTAAGATTTCTAAGAATGTCAGATTTTAAGGCTAGTGTTATGAAAATTGGTATAGCCAATACTTTTATTAACACTTTAAAAATGAGATCTATAATTACTAAATTCAAATTACAAACACATTGCTAATATTACATTACTATTGGGCATTTATATTGTAGTTCAAGTATTACTAGAGATTTTAACAACCAAATTTCAAGAGCCCACTAATAACCTAAGATACTAGAAAACTGCCTCTTTATAGAAGATGGGCAAATGAGACTTTTCTAAAAAGATTAGGATGACTAGAGAACATTTGTGGAATAGAAACAGCTATTAGTTATAACTTAAAATAGACAAGAAAATGGAGTCTGGGTTGTTTACTTTGGCCACATAGAAATTTTCCCATCCCAAAAAATTGGGTATCTGACGTCTCAAGGAACTGGGAAATGTTCCGGGTTTATGTGCTACAACTTTAAAAGTTGTATAGAAGGATTAAGAAGACTCAAGTGCCCTAGCTGATTTGGCTCAGTGGATAGAACGTTGGCCTGCGTACTGAAGGGTCCCAGGTTCAGTTCCAGTCAAGGGCACATGCCCAGGTTGCAGGCTAGTTCCCCAGTAGGGGGCTTGCAAGAGACAGTCAATCAATGATTCTCATCATTAGTGTTTCTCTCTCGCTCCCTCTCCCTTCCTTTCTGAAATCAATAAAAATATATTTTAAAAAAAGAGGATACAAGACATTATCTAAATAATTTCTTTAAGTTCTATAAGACACTATTAGTAGAAACATTGGTCTTGGCTATTTTCTGTGAGAAAATTTTCTAAAATCTTCCTGTCTAATAAGATTCCAGTGCTTATAAAAGGATGACCTTTCAAATTATAGCATAGGTAGGTCTTGCTTTGCAAGAGATATTCTTTTTGCTTCAGAATCTAGCAGTAAGAACATTCTTTTCAATGATATCTAATCATTCTGAGTAAATTACTATCAGAACATATTTATAGCACCATGTGACAGTTGACACCAATAAAACATTTAGGTCAAACATGTTGCCCTAACTGGTTTGGCTCAGTGGATAGAGCATCGGCCTGCGGACTCAAGGGTCCCAGGTTCGATTCCGGTCAAGGGCATGTAACTTGGTTGTGGGCACATCCCCAGTATGGGTTGTGCAGGAGGCAGCTGATTGACATTTCTCTCTCATCGATGTTTCTAGCTCTCTTTCCCTCTCCCTTCCTCTCTGTAAAAAAAAAAAAATCAATATATATATTTTCAAAAGCATGTCAAACTCGACCCACAGGCCACATGTGGCCTACAATGAATATTTTTGTGGCCTAGACAATATAAAAGTATGTAAGAGACATTTTAATAAAAATTTCATAACATAATTTCTATAATATCCTCTTATAATTAATATCAAACTATGACATGCACTAATGACTGATTTCTATAATAGTGTGGCATTTGTTTCCCTTATGCACATGCGTACCATTTCTCTTCACTAATACTAGCAGTAAATATTTTAAATATATTTTATTGATTTTTCACAGAGAGGGAGAGGGATAGAGAGTTAGAAACATCGATGAGAGAGAATCATCGATCAGCTGCCTCTTGCACACCCCTCACTGGGGATGTGCCCGCAACCAAGGTACATGCCCTTGCCCGGAATCAAACCCGGGACCTTTCAGTCCACAGGCCGACGCTCTATCCACTGAGCCAAACCGGTCCCAGCAGCAGTAAATATTTTAGCAGCTGACTGCCATGTCATTAGTCTTGTACTGACTTGTTTGGTGTGGGCAACAGGAAATATTTCGCTTTCGGAGAACAAGAAAAATAGGTTTATTTGTGTTATGCTTCCTAATTTGTGCAGTTATTCAATGTCTGGTAAGTTAATGTTCAAGAAAAAATATTATTTTTTATTAAAATGTTCTATTATTTTATGTTAACAATTACTCATTGATTTCAGGCTTTTGTATTCAGCATGTCTCTATTGAAATAAACATATGTTTCTATATAAATTGAAGCTTTTTTTTTTTGCAGCCCACATCAACTTAAACCTTATTTGGCCTGTGTTAGCCTTTTAGTTTGACATGCCTGATATATACGAAAGAGCTTAAACTCATATGGAAACACAACCCCCCACCTCGCAAAGCAATAAGTATAGTTCACCTTTCTTCTGAATTTTCTAACAATAGTATCTATTGTTATCTAGGAGCAGATTTTTTAATGTGTGGAGGTAAAAACAACAACAACATTAAGACTCTTTACCCATGGTGATAAAGGGGAATTAAAGGCAGTCAACTCCCTTCGGGGGAACAGCAATATTCCACCAGGGGTCAACACTTCTCTCCATAGATAAAATTTCTCCCAGAGTTCTTTACTTAGGGAAAGAAAGGTATCAATTATAATATAGATAACAGAAATTAACTTCTATTTTTTTTAGATGGATTTCAGTGAAGTCTCTGATGGAAAATAAATGTTATAAAATGTATCAAATTGTAAATGTATGTGCAATTACTTCTATACATGTTTATCTGGCTTTGGTCTATAATTTTGATGTTTGAAATAAAATTAAATATTTTCTACACTTCTTCCTATAATTTAGGACTTCACAACTTAAGACTGTTCACATTTTATTATAAGAACCTTTAAGATCTACAGCCTGCTGCACACCTCTTTCCTATTCCTCTAGGCAGCCAGCTCCCTGCGGAATTTCTGCAAAGATACATACTCTACTTTCTATTTAGAAAAAGTACATCTGGAATCACTCAAAATACTAAAATCACACAGTGAATGAAATCACTTAACACATTACTCCAGTGTTAAATTATCTAAATAGACAATAAATGAGAAGATGATAAGCAAGCCATTTCATGAGCTTCAAGGATATTCAGTCAATTAAAAATAAGACCTTTCTAAAATGATTCTATACATATAGCATAAAAGCTTATAATCAACTATAGTATAATTTCATTTTGAATACAAAAATGCTAACAAATAAATTTAAATTGCTGTTTCTACCTGCATTATGTGTCTCCCGATTTTTCTTTCTGAAACAAAAAGAGGAGATAAAAGGAACATAAAAACAATAGAAAACCATTTTTACCACTTCACATTTTGAGAACCATAAAAATTAATTTTATGAATTTGTATTTGTTGCATTAATAAGAATTTAAATAAAACTTATATAAGTTCATATATATAATGGTATATAATCTTAATATATGTTATGGTAAACTTAACTGCAGATACATCAATATAAATTTAGAATCCACAATTTCAGAAAGTAACTACAACTCTATACTTACACACCCACAAGACATTGGTCAGAAAGCAAATCAACAAAAACTAGTTGAAAAATGTAATAAAGGAACTAGACAACTCTCAAAGTAATGTGCCAAGTAGGTGACTTCTTTTTATTTTTTATTTTTTTCAGAGAGTAGAAGGGAAGGAAGTGGAGAGAAAGAGAGAAACATTGATTGGTTGCTTCCCACACCCACCCAACTGGGGGTGGGTATGTAACCTGCAACCCAGGTATGCGCCCTTGACAGGGAATTGAACCTGAGACCCTTCGGTGGTCAGGATGATGCTCTATTCACAGAGTAACACCGGCCAGGGCAAAAATAGGTGACTTATGATGTTTGCCTGGCACCCAGCAGAGGTGGAGGTGAGTGTGTAAAGGAGATGAGCAACAGCAGGGAGGAACCTGGAAATCCTCAGGTGTAGAGGGCCCCTTGGGAATGCACATGGATGACCTTTAAATTAATGTCAGCTGAGTCCAAGGTGACTGGCATGGCTGTCCCCCTGCAACAGCCTCCCAAAAGAGATTGTTATCAGTACGGATTTCTTATCTTTATCCATGTGCTTGGAAAGAGGGAGGAATAGGATCTTGACTTACCCAGGTCTTGATATGCTAAATCCAAGGAATGAGGGAATGAATAGGACCTGGGCACACTCAAACTTCTTTGACCTTAAACCCCCTCTGGAAATCAATAAATGTGCTGTGTTGTCTGTGGTGGGTGTTGACTGACCCTCCATCAGAGTGACAGCATCCACCAGGCACCCAGCTTTTGGATCTATTTCTGCCTCTTGTCTCTTTCTTTTCTTTTTCTTTTTTTTTTTTAATTTTAATCTCCAGTTCCTCCACTCAGGAACCTGTCCTTCTCCCTTTCCGTGTGGGACGTAGAAAAAGGGGAAGCACCCCACCACACTCAGGAAGGTAATTATGGCAACCTCCAGCACCCAAGCACTGACAAGTGGCATTTCAACCATCTTTTGCAATTATGTACCTTAAGTTATCCAAACCCTTAAATTTTATTAAAACCTAACCTATTAAAAATATTGATTTTGCCGGGACCGGTTTGGCTCAATGGATAGAGTGTCGGCTTGGGGATTGAAGGGTCCTGGGTTCGATTCCGGTCAAGGGCATGTACCTTGTTTGCGGGCATATCCCCAGGAGGGGGTGTGCAAGAGGCAGCTGATCGATGACTCTCTCTCATCGATGTTTCTAACTCTCTGTCTCTCTCCCTTCCTCTCTACAAAAATCAATAAAATATATTTTTTTAAAATATATTGATTTTTCCCTTTCAGGTATTATTATTCAATACATTAACATTTTCTAACAGATGTTGAGTAAAAAAAGAGAATAAGTGATTTAAGCAACCTGGCCAGTGGAGGGAGGTGCAAGGCGGGGGGGGGGGGCGTCCAAATGGGGGCATGCAGGAGGCAGCTGATCAATGATTCTCTCATCATTGATGTTTCTATCTCTCTCTCTCCCTCTCCCGTACTCTCTGAAATCAATAAAAATATTTTTAAATATTAATGGAAACATTGGCCCTGTAATCCTAAGCAGAAACACTGGCCAAAATGATTGAAATCCAGAAAGGGGGTTATACAAAGAGCCAAAAATAATATTGTACTGATATGCATATTGGTATAATGGTTTCTAATGTCACAAAATGTCTATTCAAACTGACTTCAGCCTCCATGAGCTTAGGATCTACAAAGACAAATCCTGTTTGGAGTAAAAACTTTCAGAAGAAACTAAACGTTTAGAACAGATTTGGTATTACATTTGGTGTACCGCTTGCAGAATAAGAACAGGTAAATGTTAACTATGTACCTTTTTCTATAAAGCGATTTCTATCTATCTACACATATTTTGAAAGAGTAATGGTTTTCTAGGCACCCAAATGAAAGTTCCCTAAAAATTACCTATTTAATAAAGTAGGGACTAATTCTGCTTATCTTCTAAAATGATATTATTTTTGAACTGTGGCTACTTACCTGTGCTGCTTTTTTGTAGGAGTCTCATTTTCTGTCATTTCTGGCATGGTTACAGTGATAGGGACCTATAAGGCATGGAAAGACACACCAGAAGGTTTAAAATCATTCTAGTATCAGGAAAATTAATAGCAACTTGGTTCAAATACCAAATGCTAAAAAAATACAAGTGATATCATGAAAAAAAGCACTGGGGATAGAAAAATGTATAAGAAAAAAGGACAAAAACATTATATCTAGCAGATGCAGAACAAGATGATTGTCAAATATGAGGTATAGCAAAAAAGGAGAGAGAAAGACCATATGCACTTGGAACTCAAGGAAAGTTAATCAAGAGTGTGGATTTAAGCAAGACCTAGAAAGACAGGTAAAAAAAAATACCTGAGTTGGGAAAGAATGTTCTTTGTTCATGATAGTGTTTGTGATACAAAATTTAACCTAGAACAATGGCCCTCTCTCTGAACACAGAACAAACAAAAGTGACAAGCAGACAAACGTAATATTCTATACATGGAAGCATTCATTCATTCATTCACTCATTTGGTAGGCCTCTTTCATTTCAAACTGAAAAAAGTCTTAAGTTACCATTTTGAGAGTCACTAAACTCTTGAGCATGAAAATTGTATTTATATTTAAAATATCATTATAATAAAGAATGTATGTACTATAAGAAATATACACATGTGCCAAAAAAAAGCCTGAAAGCAAATACAATGAAATATTAATCATAGTTATGTAAGGCCAGCAATAATAGAGCTGATTTCTTTCTCTTTTCTAATTTTCAAATAATTCTGTAATGAAACTAAAATGCTTTTAAATCTCAGGGATTGACAATCTTTCAAAAAAGGTTTGTCAAGTTGGACTACCTGTTCTGGTGCGCTGGAGGACGTGTGGGTGTGGTTCCCCATTTTTCTCTGTCAGAGGAAGGAAGAAGGCAGCAAGTATGGAATCAGAAGCCAGCACAACTGTAAAACCTGATTCTGCCATTTCCTAGCTGTGAGGTCCTGGGCAAGTTGTATTATCTCTTGGAACCTCACATCTCATCTTCAAAATGGGTCATAATCACAGTATCTAGATTACTAAGTTATTTCAAGAAAGGAAGGAAAGAATGCAAGGAGAGCATAACAGCAAGGACCCGAGCAGTAAGAAGTCAATAAATGCTAGCTATCAATATTAATGAGGTATTTTAGGTTAATGCTTTAACCTGGGAAGGAAGTGAAGGGTTCTGGGAAATAGTAAAAGTGAATGCAGAGGTGATGACAGGAAGTGCTGGCAGAAGCAGCCTAAGGAGAAATCTGTGCTTAAGACCCATTTTCAGCAGCTTATTCTACCTTCTCCTTAACACTTGGGAAGTTACATATCTGCTTAAAAGCAACACACTCACATTAGATGACCATTTAATGATAATGTGGGACATGTGAATAAATAAATCATCACTTATCTTACCCAAAGGCTTGCAGAATTTCTTCACTTTTGATTCCTGGCTTCCAACGCCTCCCGTTTATGATCAAAATCTATCATCTTCTGCCAGAAGATGGCCTATAAGTTATGTTTTCTTCTTACTACACAAGAGAAAAATCAATGCATGTTTATAGCAACATGTAAGACAAGAACTGGTGATCTATGGCATGCAGGTAGATTTTCACTTGCAAGGCAATAAATGTAGTTGCTTTCAAAAGTCACTTTCCTAAGGCTTACCCATGCTCCACCCCACAAAGATAACAGTATTGCAGCTATGGGATGGTTGGTCTCCAAGTGACTTTCTCCTTTCTCTTAAGCATGCTCACGATCCCTCGGGTTCTCACTGTCCTCCATCTAACTCTTACACTAAGACCTGTCCTTAATTCTAAAATTATCTTTCCTTTAATTTCCTACTCCCCAGTTTCACTTCTCTCCTGTCAGAGTGATTGAAACTTACTCAAGGACCTTTCACTAAGGCTATCCTAGGAAGACAACACTCAGACCTGTGTACTAAAACTAAAATTAATTCTAGGCTATAATGAAGAATTCAAAGCATTTATTTGAGCAAAAAGAGCTGTGGCCCAGGTGACAGATTTAGGTAGCACCCTAAATTGTGTACCACCAAGTTAAAGGAAGCATGTTCTTTTTTAAATATGATTTTATTGACTTTAGAGAGAGGGGATGAGAGAGGGAGAGAGAGAGATAGAAACATTGATGAGAGAGAAACTGATTGGCTATCTCCTGCAAGCCAACTACTGAGGATCAAACCTGCAACCCTGGCATGTGCTTTGACCAGGAATCAAACCTGGGACTTCTTGTGATGTATAGGACACAGCTCAACCAACAGAGCAACACCAGCTGGGTGAGGCAGATTTTTTTATAGCAGTAGTTCATATCAGGGTCCCAATTAGGTCCATTTATAAAATGAAGTATCAAAATTGTGCGGTCCTGATTAGACAGGGCTGGTCTCAATCCATTGATAGAAAGAGGAAACCAGGGTAGAAAGAGAAATGGGAGAGTTCAGTCTGAGGTTCTTCCCAATATACAGAGTACACAAGAGACCTCTCTGAGCAAACAGCTGCTCGTCTCTTATTATTCATAAAATCTGGGCCCTAAAGTAGACCATGGGGAGTCAATCTCAGAAGATAAAGCCCTTCTTGGGGTTCACATCAAATAATCTTCCCTCTTATGAAACACATCTCTAAAAACATAGATTTGGGGGCTTCATCCCAGACATATAAGCGCTGAGTAGAGGCCAGGAATCTGTTTATTCTACAAGGTCGCTAGAGGTGATTTTTCTTTTTCTTTTCCTTTCTTCTCCTCCCCGCCCCTTCCTTCACATCCTCCTCCTTCTTCATCTTTTTATTTTGAACAAAAATGTTTGAGAGAGGAGAAACCAAGATGGCAGCTTAAGTAAACACTTGAACTGCTGCCTCACACAACAATTTCAAAACTACAACTAAAAGACAAAATGAACATCATCCAGAACCACAGGAAGGCTGGCTGAATGGAAATTCTACAAGGAAAAAGAAAGAGAAAAGCACAATGAGACTCAGAGGTGCTGAAGAAATAAAGGCAGAGGTATGGAAGCAAGCACACAGAGAAGGCTGACAACTGAGTATGCGGCTTTTTCAAGCAGGAGGGAGACACAAGCTCCTGATTTCACTGAACTCCAGTTCCGGGCAAGACTCTGGGGACCCAGACTTATACAGGGAGAAACTGGAGTATCTGGCAGTGGGCAGATCTCAAGAGCGGCTTTCTCTCAGAGGTGGTTGCAGCAATTACCAAGGGACACTGAAAACCAGGGGCCTCTTAGGATAGGGCTGATGGGAAGCCATTGCTATTTGCTCCAGCCTGAGACTCCGCCCCACCCTATCTGTGGACAGAGGCTTTTGCATATGAATGGCCTGGTCCTTTGACCTAACAAGCTGCAGCTGAGTCAGTGAGACCCAGAACATCCAAAAGAAGGCCCAAGGCCTGGCAGCATCTTGCATTGCTTCACAGCTGGGTCCGAGCACCTCCAAACCCCAAACAAAGAAGAAGAATCTGCAGATATTTCCATAGTTCCTGCTGGGTGACCTCAGGCAGAGGCTAAATTTACACCTCCTTTGATATTCAAGAGCCAGTGTACCCAGGGGTCAGAGTAGGACCATCCAGATTACAATTCCTCAGATCCAGTAGGGACATACTCAGGGAGCAGACTCAGTGAGCATCAAAGCCCCACAGAAGCAAGTCTTGCGTCATAAGGGTGTCTCCAGCACAGTAGTTCACAACTGATCCTCATAGCCAACTGGCCTGGAGGTCAATTTCTCCCAGTAATACCAACAACAATCAATGCTTAACTACAGCAAGACTGTGCACACAGCCCACAAAGGGATGCACCAAGAGTGTACATCTCAGGTAACTGGGGAGGCTGAGCCACTGGGCACTATAGGAGACCTAACACAAAGCCACTCTATCAACTCAGGGAAGCAGCCAAAATGCGGAGACAAAGAAACAGGTCACAACAGGAAGAAATGGAGGAGAGCAAACTAGTGGATATAGAGTTTAAAACAACGGTTATAAGGTTTTTCAAGAATTTCCTAGAAAAGGACAATAAATTTAGGGAGAATCTCGAGGAGATGAAAAAGGACCAACTAGAAATTAAGCATACACTGACTGAAATAAAAAAATAATATACATAGATCCAACAGCAGACTAGAGGATCGCAAGAATCAAGTCAAAGTTTTGAAATATAAAGAAGCAAAATCACTCAAACAAAAAAGCAAAAAGAAAAAAAAGAATCCAAAAATATGAAGATAGTGTAAGGAGCCTCTGGGACAACTTCAAGCGTACCAACATCCGAATTATGAAGGTGCCAGAAGAGAGAGAGCAAAATACTGAAAACCTATTGGAAGAAATAATGACAGAACTGGTGAAAGAAATAGACTTACAAGTCCAGGAAGTGCACAGAACCCAAACAAAAGGAATCCAAACATGACCACACCAAGACACATCATAATTAAAATGCCAAGAGCAAAAGACAAGGAATATTAAAAGCAGCAAGAGAAAAACAGTTAATTAACTATTACAAGGGAACATCCATACGATTGTCAGCTAATTTCTCAACAGAAACTATGCAGGCTAGACAGTTGTTGTAAGAAATATTCAAAATGATGAATAGCAAGAAACTACAACCAAGATTACTCTACCCAGCAAAGCTATCACTCAGAATTGATGATCAGATAAAGAGCTTCACAGATAAGAAAAAGCTAAAGGAGTTCATCACCACCAAACCAGTATTATATGAAATGCTGAAAGGTATTCTTTAAGAAGAGGAAGAAAAAGATAAAGATGAAAATTATGAACAACAAATACATATCTATCAACAAGTGAATCTAAAAATAAAGTGAATAAAAAACTCTGATGAACAGAATAATCTGGTTAACATAATAGAATCAGGGGTATAAAAGGGAGTGGATTGATAATCCTCGAGGTAAAAAGGGTGTGTGTGTGAGGGGGGATGTGGGAAGAGACTGGACAAAAATCATACACCTATGGATGAGGACAGTGGGAGAGTGAGGTAAGGGCAGGAAATGGGGTGGGAACC